TGAAACAGTTAAGTTTCTCCATGTTTAAAAGGGTGGGGTCTGTACAAGGACCACATGGTCCTTGTTTTTGTGGCAATAGGAGGTCATATACCCTTGTTGGGGATATGGTGTCCCTTGTAAGCTCTGGAATCTTAGACTCTACTTCAGAGGCTTTTTGCATGTGCCACTTAGAGTCCCCTGAAGTATGTAAACCTCAAAACCATGCCGATTCTCCATTTGTCCACCTTTGGGCTTTATTCCACAAAGTCACCCAGATTTGTGTTCTGAGGCTTCAGCTCCATCTCTAGGTGAGCTTCCCACCGAACCTTCCTGTCACTCTGCCCTACTCGTTCATGCATCTAAGCAGCCAGTGTTTCCACATTTACTGTGCACCAGGTACTGCGGCAGGTGTGGAGGATGTAGCCACTAAGGGGATTAACTCTCAGCACTTTCAATGTTTACGTTCCCATGTCCCAGAGAAAAAGCCTGGGGAGCAGGATGGCTCCATAAACAAGCCAGGCCCACCATGCCCTGCTTACTGTCTTTGCTCCTCATTCAGCAGATATTTGCAAGAGTATATGGTTTTCCTTTGGTAGATGAACATATTACACCACATTCACATCAGTAAAAGTCCCTCTTCATCAACCTCCTTACCTCTTTCCCCCATCCACCTCCCACTTTACTCCAAAGATGACCATTCTAAGCCATCTCCTGTTTACTTTTCCAGATCTTTCTCCCATGCATTTATAAACAAATAGGATTACATTGTGTTTGAAAATATTTATAATTGTACATAATAGTCATTTCATAATGCTTATTGATGGCTGTCTGGATGAGCCGGTTTGCACGTGTGTTTCTCCCCAGTTACCTTGCTCCCCTCCCTGATGCTGTACCCTTCCCAGGTAGCCTGGCTCAGCAGATAAGGAGAGTAACATCTGAATTCTTGTCTTTTTCCTGTGAACCACATTGGCTGAATACGGTCCAAGGTCAAGATGGCAGCACAGCCGGGTTTCTGTTGAGGGATCTCTTCCTGGCTATCAGATAATCTCCTTCTCACTGTGTCCTCATGTAATGATGAGAATTTGATTGATTGATTGATCTGGGGATCCTTCTCTTCTATGATATCAGTCCTATTGAATTAGAGCTTTACCCTTATGATCTCATTTTGCCTAGACCTTATCACCAGATAGAGTCAGATGAGTGGTTAGTATGTGAATTTGGAGGGACACGTGTGTTATCCATGATGTCTTTCCTTACCTCAGAGCCACTGCACACTGAGCTGGGATGCTCCAGTGCTCCTGGGTGAAGCCTCCGTCCCCAGTGGGTGTGCTCTGGGCTGTTTGTTGACACACGCATTTCTGAGAGAAGAACCACTTGCCCTGAGATTTGAGGGAAGCTGAGGGCCTCCGAGTGGCTTCCATCACCAGCATTCCATTTGAATTAGTGGAAACTTCAACCACCACTTTGTGAATGGTTCCAGATGTGTAGGCTTGGGGAGAACAAGATCTCTGGAAAGTCATCTTAAAATTGAAAGTTCAATTACACTTGGGGTGGGGGACAGTTACCATCACTTAAGGATCAAAGAAGGGGAGACGGTACCATCATAGGAGGCCTCCAGCCGGTTTACATGGTGGGGGTGGTGGCTCAACCTGCGACCTGATAAAACAAGTGGATTGCTGAAGCCAATTAATGAAGCTCATCCCTTGGCTCAAATCTTGGTTGGTTTTAACGGCTCAGAAGGACAAAGAACGAAGGAAATAGAGTCCACACAGAGTTACTTAGAAGAAACAACAGTTCACTAGGGGATTTAAGGGCTTTCAAAGGAGGAACTGTCAAAGGCCCACACGGAGATTCTGTTGTGGGGACAGTGAGTCTCCAGAGACACTGAGAGAGTTTCTGCATTGGTTCAGACGCCGGGATGAAAGACTGGGAAGCAGGGCTTTAGGGTAGATGGCACGGATGACGTTTGTGGAGGAAATATTGGGGGAAATGAGCTCCTGGCTTGATGTGGTGAGAATGCTCGTAAGCCGGTCATGCACGACGACAGCATGTATTACCCAGCAAGGAGCGGCTGGCGCGATACCATGGAGCTGTGTGGCAAAGGGCACTGCAGAGTTAGGTCTTCAAGGAGCAGAGAATTGAGTGAGAGGAGGCAGAAGGCCAAGGAGGTGAGGCTGGCTGCCTGCTCTCCTTGTGGGTTGACCTCGAGTCACCCTGAATGTGAACTTAGGAGCAGTTGTTAGTGTGAGAAGTTCATATCAAGAAGTGGCAGGAAGGACAATTATTGTGCACCGTTGGGCAGTGAGGGAACCATTCTGGTTATGATCCTTGTAATCAGACAAACTGCAGCACTTTCTGCAGGCAATTTATAATCTTTCCAAACCTCAGTTTTCTCATCTGTAAAGGTGGATAAATATAGTACAGTCAGCCATATCCATGGGTTCCACAATCACAGATTCAACCAACCATGAATGAAAAGTACTTCAAAAAAATAGCATCTGGAGCTGGGGATGTGGTTCAGTGGTAGAGTGCTTGCCTAGCACGCCTAGGGCCTTGGGTTCAATCTCCAGCATTGTAAAAAAATTAAATAAATAAATAAGCATCTGTACTGAACACGCACAGACTTTTTTATGTCCTTATTCCTTAAACAATATAGTGTAATAATTTAATAGCATATTACAAGTAATCTAGAGATGACTTGAAATATACAAGAGGATGCATATAAATGTTATGCAACTACTGTGCTACTTTATATAAAGGATTTGAACATCTGAGGAGACCCACAGGTGTCCAGAACCAATTCTCCTTGATACTGAGCCATGACTAACTCCATCCACCATGTAGGGCTGTTGAAAGAACTAAGTGGAGAAACACCTGCAAAGGGCTGGCTTAGTCATGGTAAATGCTTAATAAATGTTAGCTCTCATTATCATGGTTAAGCAAAACAACTTGTGCCCTTATGATAAGGAAGGATACTTATTTTATTTTCTCAAGTCTGAAAGAATAGACACGTGGAGAAAGAAATGACTAGAACGCAGGGGCAGTCCAATGGATTTGGGCCAGAGTCACTCAGGACAGGGCATGAAGAGTCCTCAAGCAGTGGCAGAAGTATTTTCAAGCTAGGAGGCTTGGATTGAGCAACATGGATATGGGGTGGCTGAAAGGGAGAAAAGAAAGAAAAGGAGGGAATTTTATATCCCTGTTACCCCGACTATCTCCCACCTGGGTATAAAGCAGCCACTGTGTGCAGTATGCCCCGTTAGATATGGGATGGCATGGAAATGGATGGGCCCACCAGTGCTCCCATGGAAGTCACTAGACACACTGTCAGGGTTGACTTTGCATCACTAGGTGCAGCAGTGATGTAAAGAACTAAACACAGCACATGGGCAGGGTCACAAATCCAGCACAGGCCTAGTTCTGTCCCGTTGAAGGCCTCTGGAACTTTATCTCTAACAAATTTAAATGCTACTTCTCCTACTGCACTGTTCTAGGTGCTCCATACACACCAATCCCAGAGCTTAGTTCCGTTTCAGAAGCATGTAAATAGGGAGATCATTCAGGAAGCTTCAGTGATATCTCAGGTGAAAAGGGATGAGCTGGGGAGTGGGCAGTAGGATTGCTAAGAGGGGACATATGCAGAGGCAATGACAAGATTGAGGAATACAGGGGAGGAACCCCTTGGTTCTAGCCTGCATGACCAGAAGCCTTTTCTGAGGAGCTGGGGCACACTGAAGGAATTTGGACTAGTGGTTCTCACATTTTGGAGTGTTTCAAAGTCAACTGCAGAGATTGTGAATACTGCAGATACCTAGGCCCCAACCCCATTCCTGCTGAATCTATGCCCTCCAGGGCAGGGCTAGGAATCTACCTTTCTAGCAGGTATCCCAGGGGCCTCTTCTGAAGGTGATCCATAAATCACACCTTAAGCTGATCTAGAGAAAATAAACATTCTTAGCTTTGGTCCTACAGAAAGCAGAGCCAGGCAAGGGCTCAGGTGCTAATACATCTGGACAGTGAAACTCCAGGATGGGGTGAGCAAGGCACAGGAAGATGCAGGAGGATACTGGGTTTTCATGCTGGCCGCCATTGCAAAATACATCATGAAGGATGGGGCAGGTGTCAGCATGTGTGGCTGCTCTCTGCAGGGGGAATCATATCTCAGCATGATTGGAGGGAGAAGGAGATGGAACTATTTGGATTTCTAGCCCACCATGCCCTGATCTCTACTTCCCATTGGTAAAATTCACCCCTGGGAATTAATTCTATCACCTTGCAGTGTTGGGCCACCTGTCCTCTCAGTGATGTGTCTTAAGAAGCCTAGATCTCAGCTGGGTGGAGTGGTGCATGCCTGTAATCCCAGCTGCTCTGGAGGCTGGGGCAGGAGGATCACAAGTTCAAAGCCGGCCTCAGCAACTAAGAGAGGCCCTAAGCAACTTAGTGAGACTGTGGCTCAAAATAAAATATAAAAAGGGCTAGGGTTGTGGGCTCAGTGGTAGAGTGCTTGCCTCGCATGTGTGAGGCATTGGGTTCGATCCTCAGCACCACATAAAAATAAATAAAATAAAGGTATTTTAAAAAGTTATTAGATATATAAATAAATAAGCAAGTAAAAAGAGTTGAGGATGTGGCTTGGTGGTTAAGTGTCTTTGGGTTCAATTCCTGGTAGCTCCCCCCCCACCACACACACCCAAATAAAGAGAAGCAGCAGCCAGATCTCAGACCCCTGGAAGTAGAGGGTCAACCAAGGCAGATGGGATGCTGGCCAGAGAGCAAGGAAGAAGGCTGCATGGAGGGCATATGGGAAGGTGCACAGGTTGGTTCCCCAATAAAGAAGGTTGGGTAATGTGGATGGGCAGTTCTATAATGAGTTGCAGTTTTGAAGCTGGATATTAAGAAGGAAGATTTCTAGGGACATTATCTAATTGGAACATTCATCAAGGAACTAAGAAAGGAAGCTTAGGATTTTCACCCGTAGAAAACATCTTTCAATTTTTCTTTATTTGTGTTTCTGTCCTTAGAACAACTTTAGTAATAGAAGAACCTGGTTATCAGATGATGCATGCGAGCAGTGGCAGTGTTTTGCAAAAGGAGACCGCATAAATTTAAGGTATCATGTGTTTATTTTATATCCTGAATTAACTTTCCACCTCCCTAGTCCAAAGGTCTAATAAAAGGTTGCACTTGGGCTGGAGACTGAAGGAGTTTGTGTCTCATCCAAACTCCCACAGCTTTTTCTTTGAAAACCTGTAAATTCCTATGACAATCTAAAAGGGACATAAAAATAATAATTGTAATTCTTGAGGGCTGCCAACTGCATACTGGGTTCCAGAGGGTAATAGCTTTTCTTCACGTTTACATGAAGATTTCCGTCTGTGTTACCAGAACTTGGCTAACTTCATACACTGGCAAATGGCATTAATCTGTCTTAGAAATAAGGGGAATTTAGTCACCACAAGTTAAAATAACTGATCCTGTCAGATAAGGAGTCTGCAAGAAATAGATGATTAGGGTTATTTTCTACTACCATCCTGACCCATTTAAAAATATTTCAGAGCTGGGCACAGTGGTGGTGCATGCCTGTAATCCCAGAGGCTCGGGAGGCTGAGGCAGGAGGATCACAAGTTCAAAGCTGGCCTCAGCAACTTAGTAAGGCCCTAAGTAATTTAGCAAGACCCTGTCGCTAAATAAAATATTTTAAAAGGCCTGGGGATGTAGCTCTGTGGTTAAAAGCCTCTGGGTTCAAGCCCTGGTACTACTACTACTATTAATAATAATAATAATAATAATAATAACAACAACAATATTTTTTTCTCAGGTAAGCCCAACATAGTGGTAGATGCCTGCAATCCCAGCTACTGGGGAAGTTGAGGCAGGAGGATCACTTGAGCCCAGAAGTGGGAGACAAGCTTGGGCAACATAGTGAATCCTTGTTTCCTAAAAAGTTAATAAAAATAAAAGTAAAATCAGGTGGCTGGGAGATCTGACCCTAGGAAGAACTATTCCCTGATCATTGTAAAGATAATTCATAACTCAGTTGTGAGAAATTGATTTAGATTTTTTGCATGTTTGTTGGAGGCAGAATGTAAAAAATTGCAACTGCTTTTAATGCAACCCAACTACTTGTGAAGATAAGGAAAGGCTGGGTGAGATGTGCAGGGCACTTCTGACTTGAGGTAGAAGTTAAAGCCTGGCGAGTGAGCAAGGCAGAGGATAAGGGTCCCTAGGCAATGGGGGATCAAATTAAGTGAAGAAAAGATCTTGAGCAAGGCATGGTGGCACACGCCTGTAATTCCAGCTGCTTCTTGGGAGGTTGAGGCAGGAGGATTGCAAGTTTGAGCCTCAGTAAACTGTCTAGGAATAAAATTTAAAAATGGGGTTAGGGATGTAGCTCAGTGGTAGAGTGCTTGCCTAGCATGTGGGAAGCCCTGGGTTCAATTCCCAGTGAAAGAAAGAAAGGTTTTATTTTGTTTTTTAGCAGCTGAAAGGACAAATGGGGACTAGGAAGAAGTAAGATGTTAGTGTCAATCAAAGAAATAAAGAAGTTAGGAGGGAGATTATTACAGAAGGTAAAGATCAGCCATGCAAAAATTGGTTGGCAGGATATTTGCTGTACAGAAAATGAGAGAAGACTATTGGCTGCATGTTTGAGAGGGAGATTGCTTATTGATTCCTGGATCTATAATGTCCAGTCAAAAAGACTATATTGAACCACACACATACAGGGCATTGGGACATCAAGAGTTTGTCTCATTGCTGTGTGACATCCTTCCTCCATGGACCTTCATATACATACCTGTTTAGAAAAAGTCGACAAAGATGTTTGAATCTTTGTCCCTGAGGTCTCTTCCAGCTCTAGAATTCTTTGCTTCTGGGTCAAGATCTCCAGGACTCCACAAAGCAAGAGTGTTCTTTGTAGGCTGGGTCAAATGCCCATCTTTGAAGCAAACACTTTGGCTAGATTGAGGTACAGCCCTGCCTCAATATTGTCCACTGGGGTCTGGGATGACGTAACCAGGAGACTGAGGGATGGATTCTGGGTAGCTAAAAATTAATACTAGACTTTTACAGGCTTTGTGACACATAGGAAGAGACAGGAGGATCTGATCCAAGCAAGAAAAGGCCAGAGGGTCAAGAAAGAACTCTAATCCAGAGATGGCCCAGATTGACATGTCCAGGGTGGCCTCTCTCTACCTGCTAAGAGTGCCCTTTGTTCCAGCAGTGACTCAGGGATTTTGGAGCGCCCCCGGTGCACAGTTACTTCCAGGAGATTACGGGGGAAGTGCTCCCCTTCCTGTTTAGGATTAGGCTCCTAACCCCTCCTCCCACACAGGCCATATGTTCATTCTGAGCCTCAGCAACCAGCCAGAAAAAGCCCTTTGTGTTTTCTTGGCAAAACGAGGGCCCAGTAATTAAAGTCCATATGCAAAGCTGCTACCTCCAGCGCACACCGAGGTCTTTTAATTAGTATGTAATTGGTCAGAGAGGTACTATCAAACAGCTCCCAGTCTGGCCGGCTGCAAACTCAGTGTTTGAAAAGTCCCAGACCAGAGAGGGATAATAAATGCTTTAAGTCCCATCTGTTGGAATGATTTGTTTAAGGTATAAATTTCTGTTCTGTTACTATTTTTAAAAATTCTGCTTGTAGCATTTCTTCAAACACTTTAACAAGTATTCCTCAGAGGTAGGAGCTTAAGGAAGTGAACTAGAAGAAGGCTCCGGAAAAATCCATGTGTTTCCCTTCAAAGAAAGTCATGTAATGCGGTGGGGGCGGAGGGGGAAAGAGGTGAGCTGGACATTTGGTTTGCGTGGCTTGTCAGGAACTCTGGGGTTTGTCCTTCCGTGAAAATGACATCCAGGGACATCTGCCCCACTGCAGTCCGTGCTCTTTGCAGTGACCAGCACCCCTGATGTCTCTCCTTCAGCCTTGTCCTGCGTGTGTGTGTGTGTGTGTGTGTGTGTGTGAGAGAGAGAGAGAGAGAGAGAGAGAGAGAGAGAGAGAGAGAGAGAGAGTGTCTGTCTTGATATGAGGAAGGACTTTGAATTCAGCTTGGTAAATAAAGGCCAGCATCTGTGGAGAAGCAAAGGGACCGAGAAGCCCAGAGGCAGGATGTCATTGCTCTCAAGAAGCCATGGCAGAGTTAGAGCTCAGTGCCTCTTGCCAGGCATCTCCAAGTGACTTGCTTTTGTTTGACCAACATCTTGCGGAAGAAGGAAGGTGGAAGAAGGAACGTGGCTGAGCCCCTTCCAGGTTCTTTTTGTTCACTCAGCCCTTTAGGAAAAGCTGGAATCAAAACTCAGAGCTTAGCCCCAGGTGTAGTGGTACAGGCCTATAATCCCAGCACCTCAGGAGACTGAGGCAGTAGGATCACAAGTTCGAGGCCAGCCACAGCAACTTAGACCCTGTCTTAAAATAAAAAACATAAAAAGGCCGGGGATGTGGCTCATTAGCAGAGTACTTGCTTTAGCATGTGTGAGGCCGTGTGTTCAATCCCAGGACTGCAAAATACAAACAAACAAAAAAATTCCAAACTCAGAAGCAGAGTAGAATGGTAGTGGCCATGGCTGGGAGATGGAAAGACCTTGGCTAAAGGACACAGATTTTCAGTTAAGGTATGCATGAATTTTGAGGATCTGATGTACAGCGTGGTGGGACTATAGTTAATAGTACTGTGTGAAATTTGCTAAGATGGTAGAGTTTAAGCATTCTTACCAAAATAACAAAAACAGCAAAAAAACACAAAAAGTAACCGTGTGAGGTGATGGGTGTGTTCATTAACTTGAGTGTAGTCATCTTTTCAATATGGTATGTGTGTGTGTGTGTGTGCATTTTTACATCAAACCGTTACATTGTACTCTTTAAATACATATAACTGTATTCGTCAGTTAGACTCAATAAAGTCGAAAAGAATAAACAAGAAAAAACTGAAGGTTTAGACACACAGGCGGCTGGAAGGCTCCCATGCCTACCGGGTTGGCCCCTTCTGGTTGTAGAAGTGAGGAGAGGGGTGGCCGTGCCTGGAGGTGGCTGTGACAGTAAGTACCTGTGTGGGGAGGGCGGTGGGGAGTGGGCTCCTATAAGGTCTGCGTGGCCTTGGTGGGGGCTTCTCACTCTCTCTTCATAAGCACTAAGGTTCACGGCACAGTTGCCTTGGGGACCTTCTCTCTTTCCTCTTGTCTCCCCACTCTGGAGGCTGAGAAGTCGCTGGACTCAGGCCTGGACCTCCTTAGAGAGGCCTGACTGACGGCCCTTCTTCCTGTCCATTCCTTCATTCCCTTCCTTTTATTCCCTTGGGTGCACCAATTTCTGCCTGGCTGGAGAGGGTCTGGAGAGGGTCTGGGGAGGGGCCTGCATTTATTCCGTTCTGTCCCCTTTTTCTTGCTTACTTGCATTGCAGTGGTGGCTGTTTTTTGGTATAGGTGATTGAACCCCAGGGCAATTAACCACTGAGCCACATCCCAAAGACAGCTGCCCCCCATCTTTTTTATTTTTTTAATTTTGGGACAGGGTCTTGCTAAATTGCTGAGACTGGTCTTGAACTTCCTGCCTCAGCCCCCTGAGTTGCTGGGATTACAGGCTGTGCCTGGATTACCTCTGTGCCTGGCTTTTTGTGTTTTTGTTTTCAATTTTTATTTTTTTGCAGTACTGGGGATTGAACCCAGGGTACTCTAAAACTGACTACATCCCCAGTCCTTTTTTATTTTGGAACAGGGTCTTGCTAAGTTGTCCAGGCTGGCCTCAAACTTGTGATCCTCCTGCCTCAGCCTCCCAAGTGGGGCACCACAGCTCTCTACCTGTGCTTGGCTCTTGATGGAGGCTCCGACTGGGGCCTGAGAGTGGGCCTTCAAGGAAGGACTTTTGGGCACTCCTGCTTCCCTAGCCCAGTAGTGGTGCTGGCGCTTGCTGCCAAACCCAGTCAAAAAGTGTGGTTTTGCCTGCTTTGTTCTCTGTGCATCCCCTTCTCCTAGGGAGCTTATGGGGAGGGGTTGCCAAACTGTGGCCTGAGTTTTCTGTGTCTTGGCCAATCCTTCTCTGTGCTGGTATGCTACCCTCTCATTCTTTCAGTCTCTGTTCATGGGCCCAGGGCGCACCTTTGAGTGGACAGACTT